ATACCCCCCTCCAAACAAAAAGGGAGGGAGGGAAGGAGACAGTGTGCCAATATATATGTGAGGCAGAGGTAGGCAGATCACCAAGTCTGGAGGGAAAGCTACATTGCAAGACCTTGTCTCAAAAAAAAAAAAAAAAAAAGGAGGAAAAGGGAGAAGAGAAGGAAAAGGGGACAGAGCTCGGGGTAGAGTGCCTGCCTCATATGCTGAAAGCTCTGGATTGGATCCCCAGCACCACAAATACACAAAGTAAAAATACCTGCTTTGAGCCAGGCATAGTGGCTACACACCACCATGTAATCCCAGCACTTGGGAGGCAGATTTCTGTGAATTCAAGGCCAGCCTGGTCTACTTGATGAGTTCCAGGCCAGCCAGGGCTACACAGTGAGATTCTGTCTCAAAAACTAAAAACAAACAATACCCCCAAAACACGGATAGGAGCTGCAGAGATAGCTCAGAGGTTAAGCGTTCTTACTGTTATTGCAAAAGACCCGGGTTTGGTTCCTAGCTCCCACATAGGGTGGCTCAAAACTTCCTGTAACGCCAGTTCTAGGGGAACCCATGTCCTCTGGCCTCGGCAGACACCTGCACACACATTGTGTACATAAACACAAGAACACACACACAAATAAATAAAAATAAGTAAATTCATCTTTTTGAATTCATCTTTTTAAAAAAAATTATTTATTTTTTTAACCTTATGCATATGAACGTACTGACTGCTTGTATGTACTGAACCTGTGTCATGCAGTGCCCATGGAAGACAGAAGAGGGTGTCAAATTCCCTGGAACTGGAGTTAGACAGTTGTTAGCCACCTTGTGGGTCCTGGGATTAGAACCCAGGTTTTCTGTGAGAACAGCCAGTGCTTTTAACTGCTGAGCCATCTTTCCAGCTCAATAAATCTTTTTTTAAAGAGAGGATAGGAGGGGACTAGGAAGATGGCTCAGTGGGTAAAAACCCTTGCCACACAAGTGTGAGGGCCCAAGTTTGATTTTAAAGAATCCACATAAAAGCCACATGTAGTTTGAGTACCTGCAATCCCAGTGCTCATTCTTACAGGAATCCCTCACAGCACAAGGGCCAGCTAGCCTGGAATAATGCAGAGGAAAATGAAAAAAAAAAAAAGATCTGTCTCAAACAAGGTAGACAGTGAGGACTGCCACCCAAAATTGTGCTATGGCATACACAAGCCCACATTCAAACACACACACAGGGGAGGCTGGAACTTGGAGCTGTGTATGGTGGCATAAGCCTGTAACCCAAACACTAGAAAGGCTAAAATAGGATGGAATGTTTGAGTTCTAGGCGAGTGAAACCCTGTCTCAAAACATGTATGTGTGTGTGTGGTGTATGTGAGCTATTACTATTATCAGCATCATTATTTTATTTAGAAAGTATCTGCTATGATCCGCTATTAGTTTAAAAACTTCTTTGATTACAGGACATGGTGTCACAAGCCTATAATCCCAGTACTTAGGAGGCAGAGGCATCAGCACATCATCAGGATCATCAGGAGTTCAAGGTCGTCCTCCTCTACACAGTTGGAGGCCAGCCTGGGCTACTTGAAAGTCAGTCTCAAAAAAAAAAGGTTATTTTGATGAAACAGAACACATAGAGTCGCCTGGTAAGAGCTTATCTATCAACCTGCTTGAAATACTGGGCTCCAGTAACTGTGGATGAAAGAGCAGTTGTGGAGTGAGAAGACTGACTGATGTTCCAAAAATCACAAGGAGCTGAGTGTGGTGGCTTAGGTCTATAGCCCCAACACTACGGAGAATGAGGCAGGACTATTGCCACAAGTTCCAGGCTAGCCTTGCCTACAGAGTGAGGTACAGTCTTAAGAAAGGAGGAGGGGTGAAGAGACGGTTCAGTGGTAAAGAGCACTTATTGCTGTTGAAGAGGACCTGGGTTCAGTTCCCAGCACCAACATTGTGGCTAATGATGGTTCTTAACTCCAGTTTCAGGGAATACCACATCCTCTTCTGGCCTCTGCAGGCATTGCA